TCTGAGACCACCAAGAAACCTCGAACGATCCACATTACAGTTCCCCTCAAAGTCCGCAATGAAATAAAAACCAGAGTGAAGCACCGATATTATACAAGATGCTAACTAGTCAATAATATTTCTGCCGCTTTTACGCTAAGTGCTTCAGTTTCAGAAAAATAAATAAATCTAAGACATTTTAAAAATCTTGCAATAAAAGTAACAATGCACTGACAGGCCTAACAGGTTGTCCCCATTCAAACAAAAAAACTCTACTGAGACATCCTCCCTCTTCCCCCCCCCCACCCCCCCACGTTTTCCCGCTCCCCCCCAAAAGAAACATTTTTAACAGCACAATGTGAAACCACATCCTGCACACATTACCCTGACAGGGCCGGAGAGGAGGAAGATACAGGTGAAAGAGCGTCCTGTTGGCTGCAACATAATGTGACAACCACAACCTCAAACAGGAAAAATTTGACAAAATGGAACCTCAAAACACGTGTGAGGCGTCTTCAGAGTCAGTGCGGTCTGGTTACCAGTTTATGGGTCTCACCTTATACCAGATTTTTTTTTTTTTAAAAATTGACAGTTTCAAAACCCCAAACATTCCCCGAAGCAACCAGAGTTTAACTCATCTCTGACTGTATGGAACATCTGTTCCTCATCTGTTGCTGTTTTGAGGCTCTGATAGCCTGATTAATTAAGCAGCTAATCAAAAAGGTGAAAATTCTGCAAAACAAAAACACTGTAAATGTCATAAATGTTTACTCTTGTAAATGTTAATTTAAAACGTAAAAAAAGAAAATATGTCTTAGTGTTATAGATAACATTAAACAATAAGACAATCTATTTTACTTTGCAAAATATATATTTTTTTCTATTTCCTTTACAATCTTCTTTGCAGCCTCATGAAACACTGTTGCTTGTTTTATATAAACCCAATCCTATTGTACATTTTCGTTTCATTTGCTTGTGCTTCTTCTCTCATGTGATGAGAGTCTGTTGGTAAATGTCGTCAGGATCCTACATTTCTACAATTTGGACAAATGTGGACTGCAAGAAGATAAATATCAGATTTTGACTGACTTTAATGAAGACATTTTAAGCATGAACTTAAAAAAAACAACAACAAAAAAACATGCCTTTGCGCTGCGCGTCATTAAAAAGACTTAATGACATGCAGTGATTGTGTGGGGATGTAAAGGTTGTTTGTCAGGCGCCAGGTAGGCCAGAGGAAAGCATGTTGCTGTGCAGAGTCACTCCAGCCCAGCTGTTGACAGCAGCGTGTGTGGATCAGAGCAAACCTGCGCAGTGCCTTACCTCCTGAGCCTTCAGCCCAAGGCAGAAAGTCAGCGTCTTCTCTGGATCCATGAAGACAGCCGAGCATCAGGCTCCGCATCAGAATGCACAAGTTACACTGTGAATATGAGAGGCCCCATAGGCCAAAACCTACAAACTCTCTTACACGTACTATCAAACCCTCTCACATTCGCTATCAAACCCTCTCACATTCGCTATCAAACCCTCTCACAT